GCTTCCAAGCCAAGTCCCTGAGCTTGTTTCAGCTTTGTAGCTCGTTTAGTGGTGCAAGCCAAGATGGCCCATATTGCTCGGTGGTTTCCAGCCCTTAGCTTTTTCGCCGAGGATTCAGTGGTGTTGTGGTTTCCATTGAAAGCACTAAAAGTTAGACTTTTGGTTCCCTTAGCTAATTTAGCTGCTCAGGGGTGATCTGCGTTGAACCAACGAAAAGTTAAACTTTTGGCAGGGGACAGCCCAGCTAAATATCAAAAAAAACATGTCCAAGCCGTGCGTCAGGACTGCGCCAGGGGTTGGCTGCGGCTGCGTCAGCGTGGGCCCTGTGGATCCCAGCCCTGTGGGTCAAAACCAAGGGGATCCCATTTTGGTTGGTAGGTGAATTCACCACCCATGTCAGAACCTATTTTAGTGGTTGGATTGGGATGTCTGGGGTTTTGACCCATGGCCTTTAAAGGATGGTTCTCATGGCTATGTAGGGAGATGGAATCACGGGGCTTCGAACAGTTTCGAGGGAAGGCAAGCCTAAACGGTGAGGCTTTGTTTGGGAACCCCCTTTGGGTTGGTTTGCAAGTCAACGAAAGATCAGCAATTATTGTTGGTGGTGGCCTTTGATTCTGCATGATCATCGCCTCAGAGTTTGGAAGGTGGTAATTTGTACAGAATGATTGGCGTCAGCATGCAGGGCTATGTTATGGTCCTTGCTTGTTTTCCCCCCCTTTTTTTATTTTCTCTCTGACGGTTTCGAAGACATTCGCCAGCGCTGACCTAACGGAACCTCTCAAAGGCGGTGGTTTTAGGGCCGTCGTTTTTTTGTTGGTGCCTTGCACTGCTCAAGGTTTGTTTATTGTCACGGCGTGGAAGTGTTTTTTGTTTTGTTGTTTTTCGTTTGTTTCTCTCTGTTTTTTGGAATCATGGTTGTTAACTGTTTTTGGTGTAGACAATCTTGCATGTTGTTGCCCTTGGCTAAAATGATGAACAAAACAAGTAAACAAATCCGAGCTTCTGGGTTGAACGTTGACGAAGTCATATATGGACACTTGGACAGTTGCGACTGGTTTTCCATCATTAAGGCACAATTAGTGGCTGGCCTGCCCAGAAACAGAGTACGCGCTTGCCCCTTGACTGCTCTTCGCCTCGAATGTTCCAACTGCTTCTGAGATTCTGGTAACTGCTTATTTTCCCGGCAAAAGCCGGAAGTTAATCGCACATCCTGACCAAGCACTGCAAGGAAGCGAGTTGATGGCCCACATGGAAGGCAAACACATTTGGCTTGGAATTTGGGCTCAGATACTGGGTTGTTCAAAATCAGTCATGGGAACCCAGACACCACCACCAAAATGATATTTTTATCAATCGTTGGCTCACCAGCAAGCCTGGGGTGAGAAAAAGCGCTTGGTCCTTGTTGGGGATGAGCACAGCGATCGGCGGTGTCTTTCATGTTGACATCCCGAGGGTTCAATTGGACGCCCTGGGCCACATCGGGCCAAGTCCAGGTTCGGGTTGCGTGACGTCCGGCGGGCTTGCTGCCAGCCGTTTGTGCTATAGGCTGAGCCCTTTTTGGAAGATGGTTTAGTGGTGATTGGTCGTCTGAAACTCCATTTTCCACTCGTAGGAATCGGACAATCGGAGCAGCCTAGGATACGTCATACAGTGTCAACCGGGTCGTTTGCTGTGCAGGCTAGGTCACGAACCTCGAATTGAAGACCTGTGAGCATGTGTGACTAGTGGGTTGGCATCTTGATTCCCTTCCAGACCATCACCGAAAGGCTTCCCGGTACGGACATTCTTCCATGTGTTGCATGCGTTTCGCTCAGGGAGCCATGCCCTGGTTGCGAATTTCAGCAATGTGACCAAACTGAACAGGTGAGTCACGTCCTCCCTGATGAAGTGTCGCCTGCGTGGAAAGCATATCCCTCTGTTCAACATCTTCATTGGTCAGAGCGAGGCATCCATGTTTTTGCCTTCACAGGAGATGAATCTTAATTAATCGCTTCCCTCTATTTTGAAATCCCGGGACCGTGACCCCCCTAGAGGCAGTTTCTGCTACTTTCTGCAAAAGCATATTAATTGGTCCCAGGCATCCCATTTGTTTCTCTCCAAGCCTCCGAAAAGTAGAAATGCAACTGTTGCGCTTGATAATTTGTTTGAATGTTAGTAAAGTTTTGACACAAGCCAGGTTTGCATCCTTTCAAGTTGTCTGATTGAGTTTGCACACCCTTTCAATAAGCATGTGAGCCTTTTCTCGAGAGAGGGACACAAACAGCTTTTGCCAGGCAGGTTGCGGATGAGAAAGTCCACAAAACGCAGCCCTCTCAACTAGTTGGTTTTAGCATGCTTAGCAAATATGTGTTTTGCTACAAATTTGATGATTTTGGTGGGTAGCAGTTGAACAAAAGAAGTGCTGAAAGTATTCTCATAAGGGCTGTCAATTGAGACAGATTCAATAATGTCTGGAAGGGATGGGGGTTCTCTCACAATTGCGTGCATCCGTTTGGTTTTCCTTGAACATGCGAAAGGGGATGAACCAATAACCGACAGACTCGCATTTGTTCACCTTCCCTGGCTCAATCCCTTGTTTCCCGATCTCCAATTAAAAACGGTCAATCCCCCAAAAGCCACAGTTGCAGTGTCAATGGAAACCACCAGAGAATTGAAGAAACCCCTGGGCAAATAGGTCCAGAGTCCCTTACAGCCCCTTGGGCACGGCCCTGGGCGCCAGTGGTTTTGAGGGTCGCCTTCTTAAATCAGCATTCGTGAAAAAAAAACTGGGCGTGCGCTTTGCTTTCGGCGACCCTTGTGTTGCAACCAACCGGAAACCATGCGGACACCAGTCAGGGCTGCCAAAAGGGAGCCGCCTATTGTAGCGTTGGTGCATTTTGCCAAGGGATCTTAGGACTTAAACTGTTTGCCAACTAATGGGTTTCCGAATTAAACCACTCAAAGTTTTTTGTTGTTTAAACAGTTTAGCAGGGGAGCAGAAAGCAAGCGAGGGTACTCAAAGTCAGCCGGGACGCCAAAAGGAAACCAAGGGGACGCCAAAAAGAAACCAAAGGGACGCCAAAAGGAAACCAGTCAGGAAACCATACGAAAACCGAAGGGACGCCAACAGGCAGCCGCCTGTTTTGGGGCGTTCCCAAGAGACATTCGTCCACTTCAGGTCATGCCCTACCTGTCGCTCCGCCGCTTGGGCGCCGCCACCCGAGGCCGAAATTAGGTCTCGTTTTCTGAGGCGTCCCTTGGCTTGGCTTAGGAAACCAAAAGGAAACCGTCCAAAAGGCTCTCCTGTGTTGACCAAACATACCCATTTATTTATTCAGTTATTAATTTATGCATTTTTGTTTTATTTATTTATCTATTTAGTTATTGATTTATATAAACGTGGTGAACATCATTCAGGTTGGGATTGATGTCCTCCCACCACTTTTGGGGGGCTCCTATGAAAGTTCGTAGCCATGCACAATTACATGCAATGCATATGCATGGGATATCCATATACATTGCACACGCACACACACACATCTATATATATATATATATGCATATGCCTATACATATGTATGAGCGTATACGTGCCCTACTTTAAGAGACGCCCATACGTAGGAAAACCCGCATGTAACTCAAACTAGTTCTTGCCAGGCCATTGTTTGATGAGGGCGTGGAGGGAGAAGCTGCACGTTTCCCCACGGACGGAGTCAGTTCTCCACCCAATTGCCTGTGTGGAGCCCGCAATGCGCCACTTAGCGCCTTCCCCATTTAGGAAAGCCTCATGAGCTTCGTATGATCCTGCTTCAGTTGTCCAAGTCGCTGTTTCAACTCGGCGCCTAGGCCAACACGATGGTGGAAGGTGGTCATGGTCAGGTTTCAAGGCACTGCGATTTGTTTTGCATTCCCCTATGGCTTTTGCCCGACCTTTGGGCTTACCTCTTGGCTTGCTCAGCAAGTTGGGGAATGGGGAGACGTCGAGGGTCAAAGAGAAGGCTTCCGGCCGGTGGCTTGGCCGGTCCAGAGACAGAGACAAAGACAGAGACAGAGAGAGAGACAAAGAGAGAGGCGAAGAAAGAGACAGAGAGAGAGAGAGAGAGACAGAGAGAGAGAGAGAGACAGAGAGAGAGAGAGAGACAGAGCGAGAGAGTCAGAGAGAGAGAGACAAAGAAAAGACAGAGACAGAGAAAAGACAAATTCGAACATCTCGTGGTTGCGCATGGTTGCGCTGTTGTTTACTAAGTTTCCTAGTTGGATGAAAGGCCAAATGCAAGGCATCCTTGGGGCAGATGAGGCCTAGTTGAAGAAGCCAATCTATGGTCAGTTTGTGAAGAACATGGGGCGTGCTAACAGGCTCACACATGTTCCCGCATCTCTGCGGGTCATAGCCATAGCACTGTATGAAAATGATCTTGCATCACCTTGCTCATGCTATATCACGTGTTGTCATATTATATGCGCAATTTATTCCATTTCCGTTCTGAATTAACTAGCTTTTTCTGTTCTGAATTAAGTAGTTTACATCATCTTTTGACCGTGACTGCTCCCTTGCCACGCCAGGCATCACGCATCAGCGGCCTTGTTCCCGGCGCCGGCGCTCGGCGGCACCGGTTGCCCCGCGCGCTGTCTGTGGACGTCTAGCGCTGAGCTTTCCGTTTGCTTTGCTCGACGGTTCCCACTACTCCCAAACCACCCCCCCAGAAGGAAAGGTGATTGTGTGAATCCCCTATGTCCCGGGTTGGGGGAGGGGGGTGGTTTGGTAGTGTAAACCATGCTAGGGTGGCGTGCAGCAGAGTGAAAGTAGAGACAGTAGATGAGTAGGTAAAGGGGAGGATTAGACCAAGATGGGCATTGTCTTCCGGGTGCCTTTGTAGAGCTCAAACTCTCAAGCTCTAAGTGCTCACTGCCGCCTAAAACGCACCCGGAGCTGCGGTGCCGCCCTTCTTCTGATGTTGGGGGAGGCTTCCCTAGGCCCTAGGCGAGCCGTCTGGCTCGAGGCGATGCCAACCGGTGCCATGGAGGAAGAGGAAGCAAGCGGCAGCCACGAACCGAGCGAGAGTAGCTTGGCCGAAGCCAAACAGGAGGCTTACCTATCCCAGTCAAGCCCAGTTGCCCTTGCAGTAGGTAAGCAGCTATTTTCTTGTTAGTATTGAAAGCTTGGTGTCCTTGGCTTCCTACGTACTCAGGAAAATGGATCCACTGAGTATGGGAATGACTTCTCCAAATGGAGCCCGCGCTTTGCTGTGCAGGGAGCAAGCCACAGCCTTTTTCGTTTACCATGCATGTTTCTCGTTAGTCGCGGGAAAGCACGGCCTGTGAGTGTCTCATTTCCAGAATTACTGACAATTGGGATCCCACAAGTTTGAGATTCCGCTATGACGGTGGATAGTTGCAGGGTTCCATGTTATTTTAGTGAGTATTTTCCACGAGCGTCCATTTGGTTAAGACCCCTGGAAAAACAAACAAATAATAATAATAATAATAATAATAATAATAAAAACAACAACATATTCTTAAGCAAATGGAGGCGAGGTCCGCGAACTTTGTCGTTCCATCGCATCCCCGACCTCTTGCCCAGGATTCAAGACGACGATCCGCGGCAGCGCCCGCGCGCCCTCCACGGAGAGTGTGGTGGCGTGGTTCTCCAGTAAGATCTACTACAAAGAGGACGCCGCCGCCAGAACGCGCTGCTTCATTGAAGCAAGTTGGGAGTGCGCAAAAGCAGGGCTCCCTAGGTTTGTAAGTTGGAAACATACGCTTGGCGGTCAATCCCAAATATGTGTGTATATGTGTGTTCCTTTAAGTGAGTCGATGGTAAAGCGGGGATATGGGGAGCCATAAAAGAGGCTTGTCCAAAATCTTTGTCCTCGGCTTCAAGTGCTCCCGTTGCACACCTTTCTTTGTGTATTTTCGGTAGCCTAGCCAAGCAGTCATGGCTTAATTTCGTTCAATTTGTACCCCGCCATCCCATTCTAGTCTAGAATGGGATTGTGGGGCACAACGAAACCAACTGATGCTTCCATGTGCTGAAGTTTTTGTTTTTTTTTTCCCCACTGCTGGTTTTAAAAGGAATTTAGCAGTACTGGACATATTTTTCTTTGTTCCAGGGGTCTAAACCAAATGGAAGTAAGTCATGACTGCCCCTTAAACAAACCCTGGCGCCACGCAGCTCGCCACAGAGGCGCTTCCTCGCATTCCCCCCGGGTTTCCTCGATCAGGAGCTGCTACTGGTGGAGCCGGGGCGCCTCTTTTACTGGGGGGTGCCCAACGGCATCGACGAGCGTCCCAGCGCCCAGCGGGGCGGCGGGGGAAAAAACAAAAACAACGCGCCCCGTGCTGGCGTGCTGGCCGATTTCTTCTTTGGCGCATTTTGCAAAGGGATGTTGGGACTTTAACTTTTGGCCAACTAGGGGGTTTTCCGAGTTAAGCCACTAAAAGTTAAACTTTTAGCAGGGGAGCAGAAAGCAACCGAGTATAGCTAGGAAAGACCAAGTTCTGGTGAACAAAGTTCCGACCGTTTTTTGGGACGGAGAGCGAGAGAGAGAGAGAGAGCGAGAGAGAGAGCTTCCCTGACTTAACCGGGGGGGTCCCTTCCAGATTGTGACGAAAGTTGTCTAGTGCACAACAACACGGAGACAACTGGCAGGGCCCTTGTCGCGCATGCAACTTTTTGACACACCAGCCATTTTGGGAAAGCATGGACCATGTACAGTATGGACCGGCTAGAAAGGCAGCATACGATCAAATGATAGTTTGCTGGATTTTCTGCAAGTTCACCTGGTACACCAGATCACACATGAAGGTCCCATACAAAAGCAAATGCTGCTGTTGTTTATGTTGGTGAGTTGAAATAATTAACTCAGACCACCTTGCGGGCATCTCCTTTCACCAATCCAGGAAGCTGCTTTCAGGGCATCTCATGCTGGCAACTTCTCAGGGTCAATGCTGTTTGCCCGAAGCTCCCCGCAAGGCAACTGCACAACATGAAGCCGTGCGCTTCGGAACTTTTCGGAGCCCAAACGGCAAGACTCTGGGTGAAAGTGGGTCCCCTAGGTCCCCCGGCAATTGGTGCCCGACCTCTCGCCCCTTTTTCTAGTTGGGAGGGCAAGCCCCTACTAAAATACACTACAGACAAAAGGGTACCCTTATTCTAACCTCTCTACTGGAGGTCCGAAGCTTTCCGTGATTACTCCATGTGGGCCCCAGCCACTTGCCCGCCTAGAACTCACAACGGGAAATGGGAATGTACCAAATTGGGGGAACCCAATTCATGGACTTCAGCCTCCCTTGCGAGCGTGTTAGCTAGCTGTCGTATGACAGACACCTTCCATTTGCTGAAGTTGATATGTCTGATTTCCCCTTGTTGGTTCTACAGGGAATCGTTTTCACTACTCATTTTGCCAGGCGGCGAACTAGCAAATGGAAGACACCTCGGGCTGGCAATCTGTCGACTGAGGTTTGCACAAGATGCTGATGCCGGTCTTCAGCCAGACTCCTAGGTAGTCTCTGTGCTCT